CCCTTCCCTCCCTCCCTCTGCCTCTCTCTTACTTTCTCTCTGCCATGACCTTCCCTTTTCCTCCCATACCCTTACTAATATTAATCCAAAGGCGATCTGCAATGCAGGTTAAAACAAAGCAATAGAAAAGTACCCCAAAATACATTTAAATCCAATAAAGAATTAAGACAATATAGATTCAGTTAAACAATAGTGTTTTAAATGTGGTATTCTTCCAATGAAATAAAGCAAAACATCTTCCACTAATAACTGAGTGGTGGCCAGATGGGCTGGAAATTCTGGCAGTTACAATTTCAATACATCTGAAAGCTGGAACTTTGGAGGAGACTAGTATGATAGAGGAAGAGTGTCTTTTCCAGGAGACAATTCCACAGCTAAAGTGCTCCACATAAACGGTCCTTTCCTTTCATTGAATAATCTTAACATTCAGACAGGTTACTACAGGAGGACAGTCCTTAATAATAACTTAAAATATGAAAAACATTGTAGCTCAAAACCAAAACCTTGATCTGGCTCCAAAGTTAATCAGTAACCAATGTTTTTATGTTAAAACTAGGGACATGGTTTGAATAAAAGTATATTGATCGTAGTTCATCAAGCCACCCCTGTTAAAATTCTGGCTATATGGAGCTTGCATGATGTTGTTATCTAGCCTGGAAATGAAATGTCTGTAAGGAGAAGAAGAAGCTCACCAAGAACCCAACAATTCAACCTGAGCTATAGACATTCTCCACTGCTGCAATTTTCAGCTTCCAAAGGAGTTTTCAAGAGCAGCTTAACATGCGACCTTATAATATTCCAAGGCAATTTATCTATACAGATTATTTCACAAATTTACAAACTGATGTGGGGAAAAGGCCAACATGAGTTTCATATTAGGAAAAAGAGAAACTAGCCAAATCCAGAAGTCATATGGATCCATCCATAAAACCAGACTTTTTGTGAGAATATACTAGGTAACACAGACATCTCAAAGTGGCTTCAGCCAGTTCTACAGCAGATGTTTAGCACGGTAGAAACTTGGATAGCTCCAGACACACCATTAGCTCTGACAAGATTGCACACTCAGGTTTCATCCACTTGGTAAATTTACTATTAAAGCAGAGATAGACAACATTTCTTGGGCTGAGAAACAGATATGCTTCTTTTAGTGGTATAATGGGCCCACATTCCCAGAAGTTAATGAAATCAAAAAAGTGGGTGGCATTAGGTCAAAAATTTCAAAGTGAATAAATAAACCCTAACCCCAGTAAGCAATTACATAGAAGTGTTCAGTGACACTGGAGCTAAACTCTTGCAAAATATTAAATTGTACAGTCGTAATGCTAAATCCCAGCAGAAATCATAATCGCTGTTCTGGGAACCATCCAGAACCAATAAGATAACAAACGTAGCTCATGGATTAGCCACTGTGCCTTAAAAGAACACTCTTCTAGCCTGGTGTCTAACATTTCAAATTCTTCTTTTAATTCATTCTAGCTTTGTAGCCTCAGCTGGGGAATAATTGCTGAGAAGCATGAGACCTCGGCATGTATGAGATGTTTGACTGATGCAGGTCCCAAACAATTCTAGGTAGGCCCAGATTTCCAGTCTGATGCTTTCCAGCTGATGCCACTGGTTGATCTCATCTGCCTGGTGACTCTTCCTCTGAATTGGAATATGAGCTGTTGTCCAGGATTGAGGCCAAATCTCAACTCACTTCCAGTGAGGACGTAAACTGATTAAACCTGAAGGAAACCAAAGACTGTTGCATGCCCATAGGTGTAAGAAGAATGAAATTTGCCTCCTGTGTCTTCCTTGTCTGCTCTGTAGCCCTTGTTAGCTTCAGATCCCCTTGTTATCCCAAGGATACTTTCCAGTAATTTTCTTTCATGGTTCAAAAAGTCACCACCACCCAAAAGGTTTTCTCCTTTTATTTTATCTCTGCAGTGATGGCTGGGCAGACAGGTATGATGTGACAGATGGCTACCAGCGTGAAGCTGCTGGTGGAATAACAATCAAGCTCCAGTCCCCTGATGTGAAATGGTTTGATGATTATTACCTACAACTTCATCCAGAAACCAATCTGCGAAATCCATGGTTTCAGGAATTTTGGCAACACCGGTTCCAGTGCCGGCTGAATGGGTCCCCTCAGGAGAACCCCAAATTCAACAAGACCTGCACCAGTAAGTCTTCTGACCTGTACATCTTTATGTAATTAAAAGCAATGTTGTCCAAATGGTTTATTATATCTAGGACTAAGAATATTAGAAAAAGGCTATCTGGATGAAAATAATTGTCCTGCTTTTAAATATTCTCTGTCTCAGTGAGTTGGGGCAAATGAAAGTGACCATTTCAAATGGTGATTTATACATTAAATATAGCTGGTTGATTCATTTCCTAAACCAAATCAAGATGTGCTAATGGAAAATGCACAAAATCTGCAGAATTGTTCTTGTTTCTATACCTACGAATCTTTGTAGTTACCTAGAGCATTTGTGATAAATGCAATGTCAGATTATATTGTATTATTACAATTTTATGGTTTTAATTCATTCAGGAGCTTCTCAAGAAATTTTAGTCAAACATAAAGTTCAGCTTCTCTCAGTTTCTTCTCTCTCCCTCTCTCTTTTATTCTACCCGGTCTCTGCATCACCTTGCAATTTTTAAAATAATTGGCAGTAACATTTGTAAGATTTTCTGCAGGCATATTTCTTTCAATGCATGCATCTTATACATATTTTCTGTTGCAGAATGCATCATAACATTGGCAAAGTATAATCTTTGATCAATAAATGCATACTTCTGCATTTGTGAGTATGAGAAGTACATTGTAGAAGTTCAATGATGCATGTATATTTTCTATTTATTTTACACAGAAGTGTATATGAGTTGGTGTTACAAGTGCACCATGTTTTGAAAAGAAATCTGTGAATACATCAATACATTCTTTCAATTAATTTTCTAGATATTTTTTGCTTGTAGAGATCAATAGACCGTGTACTAAAATATTATCTACTTTCGAGAACAATTAATTAAATCTGCATATGTGAAGGGAAAGATGATCAAAGATCCTCAAATCCATGTTTAAACAAGGTTTTGACAAATTCATGCATAGATTAATGCAGGAACAGAATGGAATGGATTTATGAATGAACATATGTGGAGCTGACTTGCACTGAAAACTGACTTACTCATTCCTGTTCAGAGGCTGCAGATTTCACCATCGTAATGAAAGCCAATCAGTAAGATTGAGGATTTGGGTGAAATAGAATCAATAGCTTTTGTTTATGGAAATGATTTTGTAAACATTGTTTGCCTCTGGAAGACATGATTACATTCAGGAGTCTGCATTTATAACAATGTTCTTTCAGCAACACACATTCACAAATAGTTAAAAGATTGGTGCCAAATATTTTTTGCTTCATCAATCAATAACAGCAAAATTTATCAATCAGTAACAGCCAAATTCTGCAAGAATACGCAAGGCTATTTCTTAAGGACTCTGTAGCTAAGATGGCCACAAAAATATTGCCCCCCTAAAAAAGGAAATGCATCATTGAAAAGTGGATAATTGGGGGCACAATTTAGCTGATTGATTGATTGATTGATTGATTCAAAATTTGATACAGTATTTCACCTGAGATTCCTGAGATTCAAGAAAGTTTTACAACAAAACATAAACACACAAGTAGTTCTTAAACTATGTAAGTTAAGGCAGCCCTTCTACGACCAATGCAAAAGCTCTACAGAAAAGTAAGATATTCAATTCTTTTTTTAAAGACCAAAAGGTTAGGACATTCCTTATCTCAGGAAGGAAGGTGTTTTAGAGTATGGAAACAGCCACTGCATCATTGGGATTCCCCCCCTTTCACTTTGCGATAACATACAAAGAGACAACATGCGGGGGAGAGGGGGGGACAAATCTTGCTGAGAAGGATGGTTCTTTGAGTTCCTGGGACTCAGCCATGTAGGGCTTTGAAGATACTTTGAATTGAACCTGGAAGCAAACTGGAAACCAGTGTAGCAATGTAGCTTTAGTAATATCAGTGCTCAGTTAGTAGATGGGCCACCACGTTTTGAATCAGTTGTAGCTCCCAATATGTCTTTAAAAGCAGTTGTGTGTAGAATGCATTATAATGAGCCACTGATGTCAGAGCCTCATGGTCCAGAAACACTCATGGTTGGTGTACCAGCAAGGGTGGGAAAAGATTCCCTTGGCCATGACCTCCATCTGCTGTTCTCACAAGAACTGAACACCCAGGCAGGCCCCACAATCACCGAGCTGCTTTCTTTTGGAAGTGGAATCAAGCCAGATTGATTACCATGGACAATAGACCTGTCTTGCAGGGATTTAATCTGAGCTTGTTTTGGCTCATTACTCACTGCCTCCAAGTATTGGGACAGGGTTCAGATGGCTTTCCTGATCCAGCCTGGGTTGGTGACATACAACTGGTATCATCACTATCCTCATGGTGGTGGTGCTGCCCTCAAATTAACAGATAAATTAGCATCTGCTAATTATTTGTAGAGTAGCCAAGGTAGAAACAGCTCCTCTAATTTAAACTGTATACATAATTTCAATTTTAATATAGGTATTAATACCAAAGCTGGTAAGATCTTGACCAGGTTCTCAGGTTGCTTTTCAGTTGCTAACTATTGTCTTATTCCTCCCTCACTGTGGTTTTTACAAAATATTTTGCAATTGGACTACAGAGCACTTTGGTTAGAAATATCTTTATGCACGGGACCACCCAGTGTAATCTGGACCTCTTTAGGCAATGTCAAAGCATCGCCCTTGGGCTTCACAATCTCTAACAGAATTATGGAGCCATAAAATTCAATCATCATGGAAGGATTTAAAATGCCATAAATTGCATGAGTTTGTCTTATCTTGCAAGATTTCAGGTAAGAATGCATGAATTTTCAGCATTCCCACCTTAGATGAGAGCATTTAAAGACTTGCAAGATTTTGGTAGAGAAAGAGAGAGTTTTAGTTAAGTAGGTAGATAGGAAGGTGGATGAGATGAGAGAGGAGACGAGTTAAATTTAATTTTTGGCATACCTGAGAAGATTGACCCCTTTTCTAGCCCTTTGGAGTAATTAAATTAGAAGCAGAATATCCAAGTAGCACATGGGGCAATCTTCAATCAAATCCTAATCCATAAATTCTTCAATCTATATTTCTTTTCTTGTTATTCAGTTGGTATGGGCTGACTAGTTTAAAAAAAAACAAAACAGAGGTATAGTCCCAATAAATCTCATCCTGTTTTTATCAGGTAGCTTTTGTGAACCTATTTGATCCAGATTTGTCTACAGAGAATATTATCAACAAACCACTTGCCAAATAAGACAGCTCAAATCCTGATAGATCAGGACTTATCCTACCTTTGAAAGGAATCTAAAAGAACACTATTCATCCTAAAACGGACTGATTATTATGATTACACACATCAGAGTTGTTGCTGGAGCAACTCCAATTGCTGTTAAATGACTAGTGTAATTAATTGCACAGTGCATGCACACTTAATTTTGAGGATGAATACTTTGCTAAAGTTTTGCATATTGCAACATCGTCTGCTGCTCAGTGTTCCACTTAATTTCAATTAAAATGCATTTTGTGGGCAATCCTTTCTCAAAGCTATTGTGCTTATTATATTTAATTAGAAAGAGATATTACTTGAGTAGGATAGTATAGCTGTTCCCTTTGCATCCCCCTGTTGTTGTTGCTTTTTACTACTATGTAAGTATGTATGTATTTATGTATGTATGTATTTGATTTATACAGCCTCCCCCTCAAAATGACAGAGGATGGTGTACAATTAATAAAAAACAGAGAGAACAAGAATAAACTGTCATAAGATATAAAATAGGTGAAAAAGTAATGCAAACCTATTGCGGGGGCAATCCAACAAACAAAGGAACATATTGGATGGGATTATAAAAGCTCCTGACCCAGCTTCTGGGAAAAAGCTTGGTCTTTAAGGCTTTATGAAAAGCAGACTGGGATTCTGATTCTTCTGAGATAGGCATCCTTTAAGTCATTTAGCAAAGGAATGCAAAGACGTTTTGTGGCACGGAATCCAGGAATAGAGCCAAGGGTCAGCATCACTGGGGGCTTACACCCCACTCCTCTTGACTCTTGGAGTTTCCTCTAGCTCCAGTGTAATCAATGAAGGAGGAGCAATGGAAAGCCAGTGTGGTATAGTGGTTGGTGGGGATGACCTATGGGCCATGGTTACATGAGGCTCCCACCCGATAACTGTGACATAAAGAGCCCTCTAAGAGTGCACTCTGAAATTCAGGAGACAACTCAACTTCTTTTGTAGACAATAACAAGAAAAGGCTGTTAGGAAGAAGTTCAAGGAGTAAGTCTGTGTCTGTTACTATTTCTCAACTTAACCTATCACACAGGATTGTTGTAAAATGTGTCTATTGCCTTAAGCTGCTGGAAGAAAGGTGGGGTATTAATATTAAAATATAAGAGTAGTAACTACTCATACAGTGGGTCTCTGTTGGCAACTACAGGGATGCTAAGCACCAGTTGGTGACAGTGTAGTAAGAAGCTAGGCACCAAGGGAGAGGAGACCATTGTAGATGTCTTGCCAAAGGCACCTGCAAATTATGAAATGGTCTTTTCTCACCCAAAGCCGAAGAATTTGGCATTTGGTTTAAAAGACCAGGCTAGTTAGTAAGAACTGAAGCTGGACACAAATAATCTTTTTAGGATTCTCCATTCAACTTGTGATCAGGGATATTTGGTGCATCATTTCTCCAGGGAAATTTTTCCAACAATTTCTCAAGGGCAGGCCTCCCAACAGGAGATGTTCTTTGCTGGTGTCTTCCCCAGCCTGGGCACACTCTTGATGTGATTACTTCAACTCCCCCAGGGCTGAAATAGGAAACACTTTAAGACTTTGATAATGAGTGGATTATCCTTTGTTGGAAGTCTCTGGGGACAGATCGGTCAGCAAACTGCTCTAGCTTTGTAGATTTCCTACATGAAGAGGGGTTGGGTTAAATGATCAACAAAACATTCTCTACCTCGGTGATTCTGTACTTTTTTTTATTTGCTGTGTGATGGGCAGGAAATATGATACAGGCACCATTTTATACCACTGTTTTAGCTCCAGCAGAACTTTGGGAAGGAGTACAGTGGTGGAACATTGCAATACTTAGAATGCTT